ATCGGTAGACAAGCTTAATAACCGGCTAACGAGATCTTTACAATACCTCTCCCTATTCCTACTAAAGGTAGTCTATAAGCTAGGACGAGAGCACATCGTGCTAGACGCCTTATTACGTTTAGAAACGAACGATAATCATCTGCTAGAGGGCGACGTATTCGAAGAACTAGTCTATAGCTTATATACTCTCAACTCAATTATAATACGTATAACAATAGTTAAGGTCCGCTACAATTATCGGGTTCGCTTAGATTACGTTACGAACACGCCTAGCTATATATACAGAGTAGACGAGAATGTCTACGCCCGACGTCTAGGACCGATTAAACTCTGCGATTATTTGTAATCGCTAGTTAGTATCCTTCGGTACCCTAGAGTTGAAAAGCTGCGACTTTAGACTAGCCTTCTTGTACGCCTAGATAGAAGTGTTAGTATATTGCTTTAGCGCTTGTTTACGAACGTAGAGCTTACTAGATCGATAGTGTAAGCTACTGTATTAGAATAGCTTATTACTATAGCCTTGCGGCCCTTATTATCTTCAACGGTATTAGCCGTCTACTTCTTAAGCTCCGAGATAATGTCCTTAATACGTAGGCTTTCTATAATCTCGTTAAGGGAGTAAGTATATAGGTCCTTTTTAGGCTTGCTTAGCTAGCCGAAAGAATCAATCTCCTTTATCGTAAATTCTGTTTCCTGCTTCTTAGCAGACAATAGCGCGTAGCCTTGCTTCTTTATCTCTTCGTTCTTGTCCTTAAGGAACTTCTTAAGGCCCTTGTTATAGTTCGCCCGCACCTAGTCGCTTATGCGAGTCGCTAAGGTAAGGCCGCCCTTATCTTTAGATAGCAGAGTCGATAGGATAGTTTTGTTTCCGGCTCTGCTAGAGCTATAGGAATTTGATTCTTCTAAAACCCCTAGTAATGTTTATTTCTAAATCGATCCCCGGGCAATGTTTCACTCTAGCTTCTGCGTCCGTATAGTTAGTTTATCGATAATATCTCGACGCAGCTAGGTGTTTACAAGGTCCTCCGCTACATCCTCTAAGGGTTACTTCTTCTATTAGGGTTTTGTTGCGTTAGATAGCTAGGCCGATTTGTATATCCGTAGTATAAGAAGGTCCCTTAACACTAGTATATATAATTTGGCTATAAGGATTTTAGGTTCCTTAAGGGAATTATTTTCTCTAAGGCTCTCCGCCTAAAGCTTTCTCGTAGCGACCGATTATCCTCTTAAAGCCCTCGCCTAGAGTCTTACCTCTAAACTCGTTATATGCTTTAACTTCTTTTCCTAGGTAGGGATCTTAGACTCTCCTTATTGCTATAACGACCTAATATATCGAAGACTCTAAACTGTTTAATAATCGGCTTCTATATTCTAGCGATTAGGGCGTCTATAACGAAGTACACCGCATATTTCGTATTATAGTTTCCGCTTAGCTTGCGAAGCGTACTTATACTATTCGTATACATTCCAAATTCCTCGTTAGCCTCGTCTGCTACGATAGCTATAACTAGAGGAGCGTTGCACATCGCGGGTTTATATTCGGTCGAGCTATTTGCGTAAGGCCTGCCTTCTTAGGTCCCTTCGTACTATACGGTCGTAATAGAGAAATTCCAGTTCTAGTAGAATACGTAGAAACGACCCTTTAGTACGAATGCGAGCTTCTTCTATAGACCGAGAGGCGCCTTAGTAATAATTGGATTTGCGTAGAGCCCGGCTAGTTAATTCCTTTCGGGTACTTATCCACTTTAGGAGTAGTAACGCGATTAGGCCTAAAGCGTATTACGTCTGCCTTTTAAGGATCCTAATACTATCTATTTCCCGCCTCGTATTATCTATATTAGGCGGGCCGAAGCCGTATAGTCTAATGCCTAGCTCCTCGAAGTCCGTATAAGTAAGGAATTTCCCTATAGCGTCGGGTTTTAATACGACAGTTAGGCATATAGCTACAATGCCTCTGCGAAGCCTAAAACTACGCTATAGGTCGCGCTGCTTATATCTATAGGGGATAGAGAACTTATACGTAGATAGGCATTGCGAACTTTCTATACCCGGTATAGGGTATGCCTCTCTGTTATTTTCTTCCAATCGTAGTCTTTAAGTATATCGGCAATCTGTTTATAGAAAACGAAGACTACAAGTTGCTCTATAGTCTTGCCGAGACCTATTATGTCGCCTAAGATTCCCTAGGCTTCTCGAGTATACTACGGTCGGCAGAACACAAGCTAAGCAGCTTCCGGCATATACTAGGCGCATAGCTTTACCTCGAAGCCTAGTAGGGGAATACGTATATACAGATATACGAAAAGATGCGGTACTAATTGTAGGCATAGGCAGATGTGTTTAATATGCGGTCCCTTTATCTGCTCTAGCCTCGTAGTATAACTATAATTAAGGTCCGACGACTAGGTTTGCTTAATACGGTCGAGGAGCTATTAATAGGTGTAACTTAGAACAAAAGGCTTAGGGCTACGTCCGAACCGTCAACCTATAAAGTAAACTTAGGCGAAGTGCGTCTAGCAGTCTTGCTATTGCTTAGACGTTCCTAGTCTATATTAGAGTCGCGCCGCCTAGTACGAGCATTAGGATCTCGTATACATTTACTAGTATCTAACCCTCGTCCGTTTCTCGTTAGACTATTATTAAGACCTTTACTTAATCTATACAGTTGCATCGACATATTATCTATAGAACGCTAAGAACCTAAAGGATTTAGATAACTTTCTCGGGGAGTAACGATCCTAGGCAAAGCTCCCGGCGCGGCAGTGTCTATAGTCGACTCTTAACTATTTTCCTTAAGTCTAGAACCTTGAGGATTCTCTTAAGCATTCTTTTAAGGATTCTCTTAAGCATTCTCTTAAGGATTCTCTTAAGGATTCTCTTAAGGCGTAGAGGGTACGGCTAGAGCATTCGATGCGGCAGTGTTTGTAGTCGACTTATAACTATTTACATTAAGTCTAGAACCTTAAGGATTCTCTTAAGGATTCTCTTAAGCATTCTTTTAAGCATTCTCTTAAGCATTCTCTTAAGCATTCTCTTAAGCATTCTCTTAAGCATTCTCTTAAGGTATAGAAGGCACGGCTAGAGCATTCGGCGCGGTAGCGTCTATAGTCGACGTATAACTGTTTGTATTAAGTCTAGAACCTTGAGCCTGCTATAAAGATACCGGCGTAGGGGTAGGCGGTAACTCAAGATCTCTAAGCTTAACAACCTTCGGTAGAACTCTACCGAATAGAATAGGAGGCTTATCGTTAAGCGACGGTATCGATACCCTCGATTACGAGCCGGTATACTGCTATCGTAAAGCTTGCGATCTCTCTAGACTAAATAGCAGCTTCTCTCTTAGCTATAAGTCTTCCGACTCTACTAAAGGTATAGCAGTTATAGCGACTAGACTGCTCGCATTTATTTTCCGCTTCTTCTCGATATACCTATTAATGTCTCGACTAAATGTCGCGCGAGCCTTATTATCGAATTTCTTACTTGTCTACTCGATAAAATCTATCTCGTATTCTTATAGCTCCGCCTCCTAACCGATAAACAATAGAATTTCAATACCCGCGGCGCCGTATCTGCCGGCTATACTATATTTAGTGACGGCGGCTTCGAACTTACCGTTATCGGTAATTTTATTCGTATCGTTCTCGCCTAGGTTTACTGCTGCAATTACGATGTCTAACTAGTCGGTAATGTAAAACTTAGACTCTAACTAACACCGGAGGCTGTTATACGACAGATTAGCGTATAGCGATCTACGATTATACAAAGGTATAAATGTCTTAGGAGTCGTAGAAGGCGCTTACCTAAGATTTGCTACTTCTAGCATCGCAAATAGTCTATAGAATAGCTATGCGACAAGTACTATATCTAGCCGATCGACTACGGCTAGCGTAGTAGTATAGGTATTCCTAGCCTAGTGCGTCTTGTGTCTTCTAATAGATGCAGTAAACATTAATCTTATTTATAGTATTAGGATTTTTCGACTAGTAGCAAAGTCTCGACTACCCTAATCCTAGACGCTATCTATATCCCCGCCGCTAGGGTTTGCTTCTGTTAGAAGGACTTTACTCGCCGCCTTATTGTTTGATATTGTCTTTAATGCGCTCGCTAGCAATATTGTAGGTCTTAGGCGGCGGCTAGACGATAGCGTAGGTATTTAGGTAGGCTCGCGCTTAAGTATATCTTTAGGGCCTGCCTATTGCTTAATAAAGATAGACTACCCTTTGCGGATATCGAATTACGATACACCTAGACTAATAGCGCTGCTTAGGTAGCGGAGGCAAAATTCTACGGCGGCGCGATACTGCTCCTTCTTATTATTGTTATCCTTCTAAGGGCCCTAATTTCTTATATAGCGATTAAGGACTTTCGCTTCCTTTGTAGGCTTGTTTTGCTAACCTATAGAATCCTATTAGCTATAAGCGTATATAATGCTTTGTTATGCCATTTCCTACTATATAGTCGGAATGATTTGCGGGTAGCGCGTCGTTATAGGGAACAAATAACTATACGACGAGTATGTCGACATCGTTATATATAAAGTAACGGCGCTAAGGTGTTGCAGCTAGTAGCGGCGTAACAGTATCCTAATTAGAGCTACTAACGTATAAGAAGCTACGACTAAAAGTTCTTGCCCTACCTAACTTTTACTTTAAATTTTTACTTAAAGTTTCTTTCGCCTTACTTAAAACTTTTACTTAAAGTTTCTTTCGCCTTACTTAAAACTTTTACTTAAGGTTTTTCGCCTTACTTAAAACTTTTACTTAAGGTTTTTCCCCTTACTTAAAACTTGTACTTAAAGTTTCTTTCGCCTTACTCAAAACTTTTACTTAAGGCTTTTTCTCCTTACTTAAACCTTTTACTTAAGGTTTTTTCCCCTTACTTAAAACTTTCGCTTAAGTTTTTTTCTTTCGCCTTACTACTAAGGACCACTACGAACAGATCCTAATTATAACTATAAGCATTTTAGACTATTAATGTTACTCCTTACCCTCTCTAAATACTAAGTCTACCTCGCAATTAAGCTCTCGATGTTTTCTATATATACTAGTAGTACGTGTTATAAAGTGCTTCCTTAACTGCTTAGTAGACAATTGTGCAAGGTTAATACTGCATCCTCTATCGTATAACAATGCTTTACAATTATATATTGCTCTTTTATCCGACATAATGTAATCAAGAACTATATATCTAATAAATGCTAGCCGATCTCCTTTAAAGTCGCAGCCCTCCTCTCGGCACTCGAGATAGTCTAGTCTACGCTATGCAATAAGAAGGTTTATCTGCGTATAGGCATTGTTGCGTTCCTTATCCCCTATATATAATAGGTCTAGATAGGGAGGGTTATAGCGATAGTCCTTTCCTTTACGAGAGCGACCCTTTCTACTATAATAGAACTTCCGATCCAAGTTTTCGCTGCGACCCTCTCTTACAATGTAGAATAGATTCCAATCGTAACCGTTCCTATAGAGGTATAAAGAGATATGTTGAAAATGCGACAAATGTATATTAGATTAAGTAACTATAGCTAGAAAGCATACTACGAATATAGTTGCTACCTATAGCTTGAAATGTAGGTAGAGGCTTCCCCGTTCGCTTTTAATAGTAGTATACAACTAAATTCGTAATAGAAGGTTTAGATCTTTTCGAAGTCGGCATCCGTAATCGTATGCTTACTACGATATTGCAGATTAAGGCCCAATCTAGAGAAGGTAATATCCGATGTACTATACCTATAGAGCGCGGTACTAGGAGGGATAGACGGGTCGCTAATTCATATCTTCGCCGAGGAGCGTTGTATTATCTATAGAGGGTACGAAGAGCCTCGCAGTGTAATTACGCCGCTCGTACTATCGAGAATGTTCCGTTAGTGTAGTAATTATAGCGACACTATCGCCCCTAGCCCGGTCCTAGTGCATCTTTTGTTTAGAGTAGTAAGCTTGTATAGATGCAATTAATACCCGAGCGGATACCCGAGCGGCTGCGCCGAATAATAGTTAAGCGGACTAATCCCCGCCGATAGTAATACGATTACGGCTAGGAGCGATGCACAAGCTTGTTAGCACATCTAGTATACTACTAACTATAGCAGATGTTCTATAAGCAGTTTGAAAGGCTTTTATTATAGGCTTTCGTATTAGCCTCCGCGGCGGAGGTTATAGGACTCTAAAGATATAAGGGTTGGTTATAGACTGCTCTAAGTTTTTTATTAACGGAAGAATATAGGTAGCTCTATAGAGAGAGGAAGTATGTAGGCCGCGATTATTGTCGTTATGCGGCTAGGATAGGGATAACAGACTTACGTCGTAAAGCTAATCCTAGATAGCGCTATCCTATTTGTGCTTCTTTGTAGGAGGTGTCTGCAATTCGCTACGAGTGCCTATATCGCGTTTCGTACCTCGTGCCTTTATATAAGAATACTACTGCTTTAGGCGTAGAATGTAAGACTAGTTATAATTTCGAACTCTTATACTAGCTTGTAGTCTACCGCTAACTTGCTCGGCGTTTATATTAGCGATGCGTAGTCTCTAGAATAACGGGGGCGGCTAGAATTTTGGACTGTCCCGCAAATCTAGGGCGACTTCTAGTGCCGGTAATAGATAAGGCTTTAGGTCCTTTGTCTAGCGACTACGTAGTGTTATTCTATAATTAGGATCGATGCCTCTAGTATTGTCTAATAATAAACTAGAGGGACTTTCGCGGCTTAATAGCTCTATAACTTCATCTAAGCTAGACGGTCTAATAGGCTTAGTATCTGTAATCGTGCGTATAAGAGCTACTACGGGTTGACATTTTGTTCTTAGGGCGGTTATATCGGAACCAAGATATAACTCTATATTAGGTCGAGTTGGGGAGACGGGTTCTATACCGTCTAGCGATCGCTTCGGCTACTAACCGTAAGCAGATACTAGAGAGGGTCCGTTACGAGAACGAGAGGTAAATAGTAGGCGTCGAGGGATTTTATCTCGCACCGCAGATCTTAGAAGGTAAGCAGCTAACGTACTACCGTAAGGAGTTAGCAAATCTTAACGAGCATTAAAGTCTTAACGAGCATCGGAATCCTAACTAGCATCAAAGTCTAGAGGAGCAGGCAAATCTCGAGGAGGCTGCAAATCTTAACGGGATACTAAACGTCGAGGAAGCTACAAACCTTAAGCAGCTAGCAAATCTTAACGAGCATTAAAGTCTTAACTAGTATTAAAGTCTAGAGGAGCTAGCAAATCTTAACGAGCATTAAAGTCTTAACTAGCTACTAAACGTCGAGGAGGCTACAAATGTCGAGGAGCGGGCAAATCTTAACGAGTATTAAAGTCTTAACTAGCATCAAAGTCTAGAGGAGCTAGCAAATCTTAACGAGTATTAAAGTCTTAACTAGCTGCTAAACGTCGAGGAGGCTACAAATATCGAGGAGCTAATAAGTCTTAAGGAGTATTAAAGTCTTAACTAGCTACTAAATGTCGAAGAGGCTACAAATATCGAGGAGCTAATAAGTCTTAACGAGCATTAAAGTCTTAACTAGCTACTAAACGTCGAGGAGGCTATAAATGTCGAGGAGCTAATAAGTCTTAAGGAGCAGTAAAGTCTTAGGAGTGCTCTAAATTTTAGTAGCGCTTCGACTACTAAAGAGGAAGCTGCTCTTTTCTCGCCGGTCTTAGCGCCTACTCTATTCTAGATAGTCTCGGCGCCTACTGTTTTGTTAACGGCCTCGGCTCCTACTCTTCCTCTTCCTCGGTACTAGGCCCGTACTATTCTAGGTATTCTTCTGCTACCGCAGTACTAATATTCTTACGAATAGGTGCGCTAAAGTTTATATTACGTAACTAAGTAGGCTAGGCAGGTTCTAACTCTTAAGCTCGTTGCTTTAGTTCGGTAGATAGAGGTAGCGGATTGCCCTATACGTCGGTAGCAGGCCTAGTCTTCCGTATATTAGTAAACGGGTATGCTAACTACTAAGTACTACTAACCTTCTTTCCGCTAGTACGTATACTTCCCGTCTGCGACGTGCGTAACTTCGTAGTAGCTTTCGAGAGTAATTACTCTAGAGCCTTAATATAACTATTAGTGTCCTTAAACTAACCGGCCTTATTCTAATTATTTCGGTAGCGTGCAACCTCGCGCTAGTTGCGTTATAGAATTGGAACGTTAAGGTTGAATAACTGTTCTTCGAGGTTGTCTATTTATTGCTTTAGGCGGTCGGCCTTTGCCCTCTAGCGCTCCTTTATCCGTCGATTGACTGTAGCTTAGTCTCCTACTATCGCGAGCAGTCGTTAGGGGTTGTGCGTAGGGTAGTATTAAAGATCTGCAACAGCTGTAGATAGTATGCTTAGCGTTTCTGTTATGCGGGGTTTCAATCCTAAGCAGCACGCATACCGCGCTTTATTATTCTTAGCGTGTATTTGCGCGCTAATTATTTAGTTCACACGCAGCCCCTTTATATACGGTTTAGAAGATTATTTTAGAGCCTAGGTATTACTAGTAACCTCTTATTTCCTCTCTATTTAGGAGTTTTATAGTAATAATAGTAATTATTAGAATACGCTCTATAGGGTAGAGATAGATATAATTTTAGTATATAAGATAATTAACTCTTAGTTAGTTTCTAGCCGAGGAAACTATATATATTAATAGTTATAATCTATAGTAGGATCGATAGTATCTATAGTAGGGTCGATACTAACTATATCTAAACTATAATAGTAATAAAGTTAATACTATAATATTCGTAAGAATATAAATAGGAGGGATAGAGATATATCTAGACCTTACTAGAGTAACGTATCTTACAGTAGTTACGGTTACGACGCTAGTATAATATATTAATAGTAAATATTTATTAAATAGTAAAAAGAGGTAATAGTATAAAAACAAGGTCGTAATATAAGTATTATAGTTCGAAATATAGTTTGTAAAGTATAATGTCTTATATTATATCTATCTAGCTATAAGAGGAAGTATATACCTATAGTAGGTAGCTAGGTATTCCCTTCCTTTTATAGCTTTATAATAAAATCCCCTAGTCGCGAAATATCCGCGACTACGTAGACTATACTTATAATAGACTTATAATACTATCGTATTTTCGTATTACTAATTATACTAGATAGACTAACTATATTATCGTCTACTATAGAGTCTCTATCTAAGTCTTAATAGCTTATATATTACACGTTGCCTACTCGGCTATAAAAGCCTATAATAGAGTTATTTTAGGTTACTAAGTCTAAGCCTTTAGTAGCTGCCTAGCGCTCTAGGAATTTAATAGTATACTTCCTATACTCGACGTATAGGGCGTTAAAGGCGTCGGTAATAAATATACTAATATAGGCGTAGTCTTCCTCTAATTCTAACTAGATCGACTTAGCGAGTATAACTATAATATCTATAAGGAAGTCGTAGGTAAGTCCGAGGGCCTAGCCTTCTAGTAGCTCCTATATCGATCGAATAGCGGCTTTCTCGGAATTAGCCTTAGTATTAGTATATCGGATCGCGTTTATCGCCTATAGTAGATATAAAGTCGAGTAGTCCGCGTCTTACTTAACCGTACTATCTAAGTTCTAGAAATAAGAGAGCGACGGTATATAGTTAATAACGTCGTCTAGGTTAGGGATCCTACTAGGTAAGTACCGGGATAAGGTAGAATTTATCCTTTAGTATTTCGAACGCCTTATCCTACTCCTCTCTCTAAAAGAATAGAGTACCTTTCCTAGTAAGCGCGGTTAATAGTATAGAGATCCTATAGTAGTTCGGTACGAATATATAGTAGTAGTTTGTAAATCCTAAGAATCGATAAACTTCCTTCTAGGTCTTAGGTACTACCTATTTTTATACGGCTTCTATCTTTTTAGGGTCGGCTAATATCTCTCCTCTATTAGCGTAGATAATAAACCCTAGATACTTAATCTTTTTCTAGGCGAGCTCGCTTTTTTTTAAATCTAGATAAAGGCCTCTATCCTAAAGCTTCTTAAGAACGGTCCTTGCCTTATAGAAATAGTCTTCCCTTATACCGCTCGAGTAGATTACTATATCGTCTATATATACTAACGCGAAATCGTCTAGATACTTCTATAGAAGAGTATTAATATACTATTAAAGGTTACTAGGGCGCCGGACAAACTAAAAGGGTATACTAACTACTCGAATAAACTAAGCCTAGTACGGAAGGCCGTTTTATACTCGTATCCTTTTACTATCCTTATCTTATAAAAGGCCGAGACTACGTTAACCTTATTTAACTATTAGGCTTCCGTTAGGTTCCTTATAGTATCTAGGATTAAAGAGAGGGGATATCTATTATATTTTATAAGAGCGTTAAGCGCCCTATAGTTATAGTAGAACCGGAGTCTATCTCTAGGTTTCTTAATAAATAGTATAGGCGCTGCCGCTTCGGAGTTCGCGGGCCTTATAAATCCCTTCTATAAGAGCTCGTCGCGTAATATTCGTAAGACTAGGAGCTCTTATTTTAATATACTATAAAGCGGTCCCTAGGGGAGCTATAGTTAGGACCTATCTAGTTTTTTACAAAGTTCTATTATATAATCGATACCGGGATAGTAAGGCGCTAACTTATCGGCTTCTCTTTAATAAAATAGCGTAGCTATATCGCAAACCTAAGGAGGTAGTTTTTTCTTTAGCTCCTCGATCGTCGGATATTCCTTCGTTTTTAGAGCCTTTTTAATATCCTCGGCAATTATCGTAGTAACTAGGCTTCTTATAGCGTTAATCGTAGCGATATTTCTATACTTATTAAATTCTCGGTAATAGCGCCTCTCTTCGACCTAATACTAAGCCCTTACGTAATAGTACTATCGCTTCTTAGGCGCGGCCGCGCGGTTCTAACCTTATTATATACCGTCTAGCTTAAGTATAGTAAGTAGCCGTAGTAGTAGGATTAATAACGATATTCTATCCTAGTATCTATCGAGTAGGTAGTAGAGCGTATAGACTAGAGGGCGCTAGAATTAGTATTAGAATTAGTATTAGAATTAGTATTAGAATTAGTATTAGAATTAGTATTAGAATTAGTATTAGAATTAGTATTAGAATTAGTATTAGAATTAGAATAGCGCTAGAATTAGCATTAATAGGATCCTTCTTTACTACCTTCGAGATGCCTAGTTAAGTTGCTTCTACGAGAGCTAGCCTAGTTAAGTTACCTCTATAAGAGCTAGTTAAGTTGCTTCTACGAGAGCTAGTTAAGTTGCCTCTACGAGACTACGAGAGCTAGTTAAGTTGCTTCTACGAGAGTTGCTTCTACGAGTATAGGCCTAGTACTAGTACTAGTACTAGAATTAGTATTTAATAAAGTCCTTCCTTACTACCCTTCTATTATATCTTTATAAGCTCGCTAAGTAGGCTCTTCTATTATGTCCTTATAGACTTGCCCTCGTAGTTAATTATATTAAATTAGCTATTAACGCGCTTACCGAAAAGGGCTTATAAATAGTCGTAGATATCGATAGTTATAGATATCGATAGTTATAGATATCGTAGTCGTAGGTATCGTAGTCGTAGGTATCGTAGTCGTAGGTATCGTAGTTAAGCTATATCTAATACGATAACGACGGCCGCCTTAGGTACTAAGAACTGCCTCCGAAATCTAAGAAGTTACTAATACTAGCGATACTAGCGATACTAGTACTATACTTATTATACCGTAGCTATTAGTACTATAATATATGTGGCGGGAAGAGCAGTGGATGCCTTCAAAGTCCCAGATTGCTTTGGCGGGTTTGGGGTAGTATTCGTCGAGGAAGCCGCCGCCGTTTTCTTTGGCGAAGACGCCTGTGAAGCCCCAAGGTTGGCGGTCGAGGGGTTGGACATCTTGGATGTCGACGAGGAGGATGTCGCCTGGCTCGGCAGTCTCGACTTCGAATGGTCCGGTTAGGTAGTGGATCTTGGTGAGGTCGACGTCTCGCATGTCGTCTGCGGAGTCATTGTTGCCTATCTGTCCGCCCGTCCAATCTACACATTCAATTTTCACCGTCTCGCCATTCTTGATCTCGCCGATGGTAGGGACTGGTAGACTTGGTCAGCTCGTAGGTCTTGGTGAGGTTCATTGACCTTGGTGGGCAGAATAAGGTGAGGCTCACTGTCGGGATGCCATCGATTCTATTCCCTGCGTTAGTGACATGGTCATCAAGGTGATGTTTGAAACCTCACATGTAAATATGGAAGTGTCCCAGCTTCTTTGTCAAGCTCGACTTGAGCTGCGTAGCGGATTGGATCTTTGCCCATTTTGGCTGGCTGTTCTGATTCTGCGAGATGTACACTGCAGTCGATGCCGACGGGAGTATGGAGAGGCTACACAAGCGATCGAACAACGAGTACCTACCTTTTATTTGGTTCACCGTCATCACCTAGACAATCGTTCCTGGAAGCGGGGCTATCGAACGAGCTTCTCATGTAGGCTTAGGTGCTGTGCACGGTCGACCGCATCAGCTCCGTGGCATTGGGTAAGAGCTTCGTAGAAAGGCTGATAAGGAAGACGCGTAGGCGAGCGACGAAGCACCGCGCCGCTGGTGGATTGTCGTCATTGGTTGCTGTCCATCACGATCAAGCATTGTGTTGCGGGGCTGGAGATGGAGCTCTGATCAGGAAGCTATCGTAATGGAGCTTTGATAGTGCAGAGTTGCCGAAGTTTCTCCAATTTTGCTATTAGCACTGAGAGAGGGAACCATTTCGTCTCCAATCGTATGGATCAACGGAGCTGTAAAAGCACGTCAAAGAAGTTGGGTGGAGGTATTCTTTGGCCAGATGTTCAAAGCATGCAGCTCCGTATTGGCAAGAAGCTCTCCTTGCAATCGTGCACCATGGCAATATTGAAACTGTTGGGGACGCCACATGACTTGCGATGAAACGAATCGACACTATTCGACTATGCTGTCCTAAAGGGCTCAATACAGAGCTACCAGGCCTGGACTCCTTCGAAATACGGAGTGATCAAGAGGGTGGCGAGATATCCACTATGTAAATTGTCGTCCCTTTGCAGGCTCGGCTTGCGATTGTTTTTCCTTCTCCTTCAAGCGCACGTTGAATTGGTCCAGGGCATCATATGGAAGACTCAAGAATTCGTGTTTGTTCTCCCACTTCACATCTTTCTTCTTAAACTCCTCTGCTTCTTGTGGGGGAGGTGGAGGCTCGGTGATCTTGGTGATCAGATAGGCGGTTGAGGCTTCGGCGATACCGTAGATGAGGACGCCGAGAAGAGGGATCTTTAAGAAGGCAAAGAAGGCCAGGGCAAAGCCGTAGAGCACGCCCTCTCTGTCGCGGAACCAAAGGCGCTTCTGCTCGGACGTGTAGCGGATGCGAGAGAAGTAGGGCTCGAGCTAAAAGATGTTAGTCGTCAGCGCCTCATGTCCAGACAGGCAACTTACGAGTTCGCGCATCAAACTTCTGCTGGAGAAATAAGACTGCAGGAACATGACCAAATATCGCTTCGGCAAGAACAATGAGCTTCCGAAGATCAGTACGGCAGGCGGCAGGCCAACTGCCTTGTTGAAGGTGTAGAAGGAGGCTGCTGGTAGCACGAGCTTTCCCAGGTATGGTACGAAAGAGAGCAGATATACAGCCAAGGACAAAGCTGCCTTCCTACCGAATCTCTTGAGGAAGGCCTTCATCGCAACATACGGATCCTTCTTTTCTGCGCTTTGCGCGTGTGCACTGTACATTCTCAAGTTGGGGTAGTACATGGCTCGAAGCTGACTTGGGTCGTCTGTCTTGTGTTTCTGGATGTACGTTTGGTCGACCCATTGCAGGCTGTCCATGAACATATGGTCCATGGCCGGGCTCAGATAGCGCATGAAGGACATGATGAAGAACGGGAGCTGTAGGACGGAGTGCTCAATGAAGTGGATGCCATCGATGATGTCGTGGTCCCATGCTGGGCCTTGCAGATGTGTGAACAGTCGCAAGAAGGCGATCAGGAGGCGAATGGCTACGGTCTGTGGTTCTTTCAGCTGACATTTCTCGCTTGCTGAATGCGCATACCGGTACAGCGACCAGCAGACGGATGGCTATGCCTGCGACGATGGCCAAGGCAGCTTGCTTGTAGTGGTCGGATGTGAACAACTGGGGGTTCTGCAACGCTCGATTCGCTCCAACGAGCGTCAATTGAGCGCCTCGGAGGATGGAATTCAGCTCAAAGCTGCCAAAACCGCCGTGTGTGCTCATCGTGTCGCGTATGTCCGGCTGGTGGTAGAAAGGCTGGATTCTGCATTCTACTGAATAATAATAATGGCCGGTGACGTATGCGTGCAGCGAGCTGGGTTCAAGCGGGTAACGGGTTGCTGCTGGGTATTCTCCCATGCAAATTGGTCGGGATTGCCGCCGATACCCCGCTACTAAAATCCCTAGTAAATCCATCTGTAGATATCTTAATATATTTCTACCTCTTTAAAGCCTCAAATCCCATAGTATAGACGTATCTAAGGTATCGCCTAACAGCTACAATCGAGCGCTATATAGCGTAACTAACCTCCTTAAAATCGACCGTATATTATACTAGCGCTACTCTTCGAAGCCAATCCGACTATATAGCGCCTCTTACTACCTAAGATTGCAATACTATTAAACACCTCTTAAAAAAGGGTTAGGCCGGCCTAAAAGTAGTAGAGTTGTTACTCGGATAGTATAGAGGGTCGCGTACCTTAATTTAGAAGATTATAAAGCGCTTCTACGACCGTAGTACTATAAGGCCGAGGAAGGTAGGCAGACTACGCGTAGTCCTGCTATATATACGCGACTTCGTAGTAGATAAGTTACTATCGCGGACGTCGTATTAGTACGAGGAGGTTTAGTTATTATTACTATATCGCTATAGCGAGTAGTTCTCGACCTCTACTATCTCGCGCCTTCTAAAGAGCGAGGATTTCACTTATAAGATGCTATCGCGCTACGCTAAGTAACGCGACCTAGTCGCTAGGTTAATATATAAGTCGAGGATATAGAAGTTATAGCCGTAGTAGCTAGTATATTGCGACGAGACGTGTATAAGCGATAGAACGGCGTTAAGGACTCGAGGATAGGTACTAAGAGGTAGGAAGGCGCGAGATATTAAGCACCTATATTATAGTTAGCGATATAGTCTCTTACTAGCGTACGACGTTAATAGATAGCTTCTAGAGCCGCTTATTAAATAGGGCAGTATAAAGACCGCTAACTTCGTATTATAGATAAAGAGTCGCGTCTTGCCTCGAATAGCGGTATACCTAGCGCTACGATCGGTATTAATAATAAACAACTATAGTACTTATAGTAGGAAGTACTTAGAAGAGATATATAAGCAGAAGGGCGTCCTTCTACTATACCTACCGCTATATTCGCCTAATTACAACCCTATTAAGAAGACCTTCTACTTGTTTAAACACTAGGTTCGATTATACGCTAATACAATACCGAAGTATAGTAAGAAGGACTAGCAATAGAAGTTCGAAGGGTTCCTACGGTTTGTAGTATAGAAATAGGATAAAGGCTATAATTACATAGCAATATTCCGCAGCTATTATATATTAGATAAGCTATACTAGCATTTATAAGCTATATAACACACTTCTATATATACTTTTTATATTATCGGAAAGCCCTTGTTCTATACTATAATCTAATATAAAAAGTATATCGATACGACTATTATATAGTCGTTACTTGCTCGCTATTGTTATAGCTAATATGTTAGAGCTAGCGCTAAGCTATATCTACGGGCTAGCTCGGAAGTTCGGCAACCGCCGAGCTTAGTTTAGCGTTCTGCCCGATTCGGTTACGCTACTTAGCGTATCTGCTTCTACTAACTATTACTAATTAATTATTTTCCTATTATACAAACTAGCGCATTTAGTGTATTATAAAAAAAAGATAACGTTAATCAGATATATAGTTGTTATATTATAAAGCCGACTATAGAATTTCCTCGAATTCGTAAAGTCGCTCGACCCTCGAGCTAGCGTTAGAGGTCCGACATCTAGTCTATAAGCCGACCCTAGCTAACCTATTTACATTACTAAATAACTACGCATCCGATTAACTTCATTTTTTTTTATAATATACCGACGGCATTATCCTAAAAGATGCCGCCCTTATTTATATAGAGAGAACAGTATTATATAGTGTTCCTAGTATATAAAGCTAGCAGAGTTTTGCCGCGGATATAGCCGAGAGTTTCGCCGATACCGCGAAGCGAGTCCGAGCGACTTCCGACATTAGTCTCTAGTATTACTAATATCGATAGTATAGTTAGAATACACTACTTTCGAAGGATATTAATTAATCTATATAACCTATGCTTATCTATACTATCTAAAGATGCGCCGCCTATATAGCTAGATTTTTTTTAACGGTTATAGGTATTAGAATACTATATTAAAGTATTAAAGCTAGCTTAGCTATAATAATCTACAACTCGTTATTATTAGTCGTTGTATTACTACTACCTACTTCCTCCTCTTTAGCATTAGTATTACTTAATTCGCCGACTATATTGTACTCTATAGTACGTAGATATTGCTTTAAGTCCGCCTTTATCTAATCTCTTAATCTATACTATAGAATAGCAGTTTTAAACTTACTATCGTTAAGCTTAGCGCGTTTAATATTAGCTAGTATCTAATAGCCTAAAGTAAGTCTAATCTCGGCTTAATAGATAACGTCCGCTATGTCTGTATTCGTACGCCTTAACTACTTGCAATACTCCTTTACTCTCGAGCGCTCTTTTAGTACTACGGCAATACTAACTAGCGGTAGTAAACTACGCAAATTAGCTAGTTCTCGAGCAGGTAGAGTATACGCAAATAGCGACTAGATATGCGGTAGCATTAGATAGCCGTAAGGACTAAGAAACGGGTAGTAAGCTATTGCCGGCGGTTGTTATATTAGCGGAGCCGCTAGTGTCGGAGTTGATACTAGATTACTATTAATAACTACTATCTTCTTCGCCGCTTTATTATCCTTCTTCTAGAAGCGTATAACCTCCTTATATGCTGTTTTAATATCTCGTACGAGTCTAGCAGGCAAGTTATACTTTGTAGCCTTCTTTGCCTTAATTAATCGGCCCTATTCTTCTATATATAAGCTAAGTATAATATAGTAGAAGCCGTCGTCGTCTATATAGTAACAAACAGCGTCGTATTTAGCGGTATTAGAACACTGTTTATCCGTATAATTAAACATCTCTAGGGCCTTATTGTAGATAGTAGAAACCTCGGCAATATAGGCCTCCTTTGTCTTGTTATTAGCATTCTTACGCTTCTTCTTATTCTTCTATCGCTTTGCCTTATACTTATAGTAACTAGAAGGTAGAAGGTCTTTATTAGAAGAAGTTATAGTAGTTATAGAAGAGTCGCTATCCGAGTCGCTTAATTTGTCGTCCTTCGAGGACTTCTTATTCTTCTACTATACCTTAGCCGCTTCTACTACTTCTATAGGCGACAATATAGGTCTAATAAAGGACTCCTTAACCTTTATATTAAGTAAGCGTCTATCCTAAATATAGGAAAGGATTAATAGCGTAATACTATCTCTCTAGTCGTCGGCGGTGCTAAAGTCTAGCGCTAATTCTTGCTTAGTTATAGTATGCTTTAAAGCGGTTAAACTAACTAAACAGCCACTCTAGTAAGTATCGTATATTATAGGGTCTTATAGTATACCCTAATAGCTTAGTTTGTTACTAGAGCTTTGTAAAGCCTTCTCGATAGTAGACAAGTCGCCTATATAGACAATAATAGTATTATAGAAGATATAGCTACGATAATCGCTTTACTAGGTTGTAATAATATTCGGAGTAGGCGTCGGCTTCGAAGGTCGACCTACGGCTTTGCGTATAGTGCTAGCTATAGCCTACGATTACTTAGTATTCTACTAAGTATTTTTAACCTAAATACTTAGAGGCTATAGAGTATTATTAATAGATACTTCCTAGTCGTCGGTCTATATATTAGACTTATTGCGTTATATTATAGTAGCCTTCCTTAGTTTGCGCCTTTATAATAGCTTAGGCTATAAAGCCGGCTTCGTGCTAGTCGTAGTATCCTTAGTAGTACGCTTCCTCTTTGCTAGAGCCTCGGCGCTCTTAATAGGTGCCTTCCGCTCTACTATTCTTACTATATTTATATACGGCGCATAGGAGTTAGAGGGTTCTATAGCAGCTTAGTTGCTCGCTAGCGGAGTAGCGGTCTATACGGTATCTACTTGCGATTTCTATACTCTTAACTCTATCTCTTCCTCGTCTATCTCTTAGGAACTAAATATTATACTAAGTAGGTTACTAAGATACTGCTCTTCTATACTATATCGTCGCCGCTGCTATTATAGGAAGGCTAGTTGTATCTCTAGAAAGGCTAGATTCTAGAAATAGTCCCTACTACGGTATATATCTATAAATAGGGCCTATTATACTAGATTTTGTATCTCTATATTAAATAGACCTATATTAAGCGTCTCCGGTTATACCTGTGTCTATAGAGGTCGTAGTATTTGCGAGGAATCTAGTATTCTAGCTGTATAGTCGGCTATTCGCGGTAGTAAGCTTCTTATAGCTAGTAGCGAGGTAAATAGTAATAGAATTAGACGATCTAGAGTGCGCTATATTGCCTATAACGAGGACTCTTTAATAGGTATAGTATCATCTATAAAGGTGTTGTTATTGCATTGTTATGCTAGAAACAGTGTATTTCGAGAAACTATGGAATTTACTAAAGATTGGTCAGGGTCCCTCGGAAGCCGTCCCGACCAATTTGCATCCTAGAATAACCGAAGGCCAAGCGCATGCATGCGACCCACCCTCGCCCACCTTGGTCCATGCTGTTTACGAGCTTCACATGCATCGAAGCGCATGTCAGTAACGATGCGCGAAATTGCTATCAATGAGAACGACAATATCTCTGCCATTTCGAACTGTGCTTGGCATCAACGGCAGTAATCAGTACAAGCAACGGCCAAGCGCGCCTCCCGAGCCTCCAACATTCTGTGGTCAGCGGCAGCATAGGGAGGAGGGAAGACGCCAACGCCAACGCCAACAAGCATCATCGATGATTCCGCTACCAAGCCGCCTGCGAAAATGTCGAGCACGGCGCCGCCGACGACTCCTGCGCGCCAAAACACCGTGATGCGATCGTTCACAAGTCCCACCGCCAATCGCGCTGCCTCGACTGGCGCTGCCATCGGAGAGACAGAAGGAGTAGAGACGCTATTTGTACATGCCAACACCAAGGTCATCCGATTTACTAGCTCTTCGCCACCTGGAAGTAGTGCAGGCACCCCGAGTCCAGGTGGCAGAGCGCAAGGAACGCTGCCATGGGCCACAAATACCGAGAAGACCATGGCGGCCGGCCCGCTGGAGATCTACCGTGTGCCCGGCTCGGTGTCATTCTTACACTCTGGAGCCCTTCTGCACACTATAATGCCGAGGAGTAACTGCTGGTGCGTCGACGGAGTTAGTAAGTTCGCCATGCGCGTCCTGCCGGATACCTACTACCGCATTGAGCTGCCCGGAGATACGCCTGAGGATTTGGAAAAGGTGGAGGAGCTGAAGTTGACACTCGCCAAAGTCCTGTTCTACGAGCGAACTGCCTGTCCCTTTGCCCGCACTTTCTCCGTCGACTTGCCAGAAGAGGAGGAAGTGAAGCCCAAGAAACGGCGAAGACGAACAGATGGCCCAGCAAAGAAGTGGAAGCTGGACAAGGCTTACAGTTGGAGGCCAGAAGGCTGGACTCCAGATCAAGACCGACCCAGTGGTGAATCCTCAGGTAGTCAGACTGCGACAGATGAGGAGGGCAGCTCGAGCTCGACCGATGACCAGGTCGAAGAGGCTGCCGACCAGCTCACGCAAATGAAGATTGCAACTCCCTCGCGGCCCTCTGTTCGCGATCGAGCAAAGCGTTTCAATCAGCGTTCTGTCACGGCGCCTCCACTCATGTCCCTACAATCTACACCGCCCTCACGACTTCGCACATCCTTCCTGGCCCATGACAACGCAGCTATTTCAGAGACATCGGATTCCCATTCTCGCGACCTGCATACAGAGCGACTGCATACAGAGCCAGGAGCTTCGCGAGAGCAACATCGAACCTTACAAGCGATCTTCACAGATATGCCGCCGTCGCCGCCTGACTCCAGTGCTGACTTGGAATTCACTTCGCCAAATCCAACTTCCCGGAGGATGGAACCTGAGCAATCAACAAGCAGCGAGCAAAGCCGAGAAGAACTTGGGATGTACACATCGCACGTCAGCCATGCTCCAGAAATGGCGTCTGCCATCTCTGCACCGACCGCATCTCCGTCACAGGCAGAGGACATGGGCGCGGCGGCCATCACCCGCTCGGCTGCAGACGCCGACCAATTGGAAGAAAAGCCTGGCGATCCTGGCGAGCTTAATAAAGAGAATGATGAGGCGGAAAGCACTTCCACGCCACCCGATCCGCTCCACGTGCATGAAGACGCATCTGCAGCTTTACCCAAATTAGAAGGCTCTGTCAACTCCGATCCTGTCACCGTCACAGATGATGCACATGCGGCCGAAGATGGTATCCCTATGCACGATCAGCCACCATCGCTGGAACCGTTCCATGTCAAAACGAACAGCCGAATCGCCTCATTACCAAGTTTCCAGGTCGATGGCGCAAATCTAGATCCATTTGACAAAGAGCCATCGCTGCAAGAGTCTGAAGACTCGGACGCTGTTAGCCAGAACACTGCTGCAGTGACTACAGAGCACCCAGCGGCGGCAGATCCTGAACAGGAAAATGCTTTCTTGCAGCGGCAGTCAGTTTTCGGCAACGTAGAGCCTGATCCTTATGCACAAATCCAAGCTAGGATACAGGCTCGCCGCACGATTGGCAGTGGAGAGACGACTGGTTTCGAACCACTTCGGAGGCAGCCGACACGACAGTCTTCGTCCTCTACTGCCTCGTCAAGCTCGCTTCGATCAACTCGCTCACGAAGAGGACGACCTGCAGATCGTAAGCAGGACCAGGCATTAGCTGCAGGTCTGGTTCGAAAAGCCTACGATGTATTTCTTGGCCCTCCCGCACATCTGATCGCCATCATGCTGAAGATCGCGGCGAGATTCGCTCGAGGCACATTCCGGAATACCCTACTATATGAGAGCCCACGCGGGATGAAAAAGCACATCCCTGGTTCATTTGACCTTGACGGCAGTGACGTTGAATTCCTTGATGAGTCTGAGGAAGATGGTTCTGCTGGCGAGGATGACTTCGGTGTGCCGCTAAGGAACCCTATCAGGATGATGAGCTCTGAGGCTATGCCCGGGCAGTTGGCTAGTCCGAGTATTCAGGAGAGAAGAGGTTGGCAGTTGGAGACGTAGGAGTCAAGGCTCGGACTGTTTGGATCACGGGAAATACTTGGAGCAGCTGACGAGGATGGCATGATGTCGATGGAATTTTGTTTTTGAGCGTGGCGTTGGGGACTTGGGTATGGGCGTATGACTGATGATGGATTGATTGATGCTTGGATGCTAAGCCTATTGCTCGACGACAGGAGATGATAGCGAATGATCGAATGAAGGTACCTATTTCTCAAGGCATCGTCTGTGCTGATGAGCTCGTCCTGTGTCTCTTCTTCACGGACATAGGTCTGTACGATCGAGGTCGAGAACCATCTCGCGTTGACCAGCAGGCTTTGTTTCGACCAAAACACCACATGCCGTGGCAAATACACGGCTGCAGCCTTTACCAATCGTCGAGAGTGTGTCTCGATTCTGATTTGCTCGTGGAAGTTCATTTTGGTCTCTCAGAATTAGAGCCAACTATTCACGTCCGAACTGCGAAATTTTGAGGTCTTAGGTAAGGCAATCGCCATTAGCACAACGTTTGCGTGGATCCTTCGTAGGGTGGGCTGAACAGCGGTGATCGTTCATTCCATCGAGACGCTTGACACGAATGCATGTACTGCTCACCACAGCATGTGTTTGTGAACCAATTTTTCTGCTCTATCCGATCGATAATGGAGGCCATGATGGTTCTTGAGGTCAAGACGCATGACTGGTAGTGACGGACGACTTGGTAGTTTATGCATGGAAAAAGAAATGATATCTTGGAGCTTGGAGAAGCAAAGTGCGAATGTCTTTTGAAATACATTTATAATCTAGCTGATGGTGGGAAATGAAGCATATGAGGATTCACCTACCAAAGCGTTGAGTGTGCTTGCATGAAGCGAGGCATTGCGATTCACAGTGCATCAGAGACATGTGAGCAAGGCTGCTGACATCGCTTAGGAAGAGGCAATACTGGCGGTCATTCGAACAATGGAACCCTTCCACTGCCCCCACTGCATCAAGACACTCATATATGCTGGCTCACTGTACTTATTATCGAGAGGCTATAGTAGTTCGACTCCAGACACTGGATTGCAGGAGTGGTATGAGAGGAAACTGGTCGGAGATGGCCGGAAGAATGTCGTTGGCCAAGGGTGATGTCCTAATGAGGTCGAATCTGCCTATCCGCAGCAGATCTGTCTCCGAGTGTCAGGAGTTCGATTCACACGGATCGGTGACAAGCAACGTCCGAGTGGTATAGAGATGATGCTGTCGCATGCAGCTTGGCATGCGACAATGTCAGCAAGGTATGGGCCCCATGTTGTCGGAGCAGACCCCGTCAAAGGCCTTGTCCTTCATCACCTTAGCAACGCATAAGCTTTGCGGCATGGCGCTCGATCCGGACACGTGAATTTCGATCCTGGAAGATGGTTGCTTCGGTAGTGTAATACAGCGCTCAAGCTTTATGAGAACGCAATATCTTCGCTGCGACAATCCTGGTGCTCACTCAGACCAACGACGTGTACAGAGTCTGTACGCATCGGAGTGCTAGTCACTAAACGCGGACCGTCGATTCTGAGCAGCGCTATTCGTTCAAATCCATGAAAATGCAGGGATACCAGAGTATCCACTGTCACTCCGATGCGGACAGAGTCTGTACGAGCCGGGCGCGAGCAAAGTAAGCCTTGATCAGTAGTGAGCATGTCTGCGGATACATTTGTGACCGGGTGCAATGTCTCGATGTGGTAGCGATGTGGTTGGATTTTGGTTCACATAGCAGTGCCAGGTGCCAGGTAATATTATCATTTGATTCATTCTCATGCATGCTCTGTTGCAGGGTTGGAGAGAGGACAATCACATGGCACCATGCTCAATGCTCATGAAGTACAGTAGTTATCTGGCATACTGACCTAGGGTTTTGACTCGGAGGAGCAGGTACTGTACGGAAGAAATGGGATCGGGCCGGGTTGTGAAATCTCGTTTCCCGAATCCCGATCATGCCACCGCCATGTCGAGTTCCCCTGGTCCATACTGTAAGATCCTCACTCAATATCAGGCTCAGCACCCTCATCATCATCGAAGCCTGTACATGGACCGTTGCGAGTACTCGTGGCACCACACTGCAGAGTTGCAATGGGCCAGAAGATGCTCAGGCGCAAACTTGGTCGCTGGGACCTTCTGTTTTCGGGAAATGGACATGAAGTCGTGCCCATCTTTGCCAGCATCCAGCATCCATACCGCTCAACTACATAGGCTCATGATTGGTCAATATATAGTCGCTGCCCAATGCAAGGCCTTTGGCTTGTCGACTTGAAGCCAGACGCGCTTAATGAAGTACAACGTCGAAGTAGCTTCCAGAGAGGGAGGAAGACCTGCTCGTACTGGTTCGCGCGATGTAAGCGGCAGATGGTGAACGTATGGCGAGTCGTCGGCAAATGAATGAATGCAATGGACTGGCGTATTAGTGCTCATCCAAATGGCCAGAAGCTCACCGAGACACTACAGGTGAGTAGATGCGCGCAATCGGTGCCAGAGAGGACATGTCGAAGTGAGAGGTGAAGCGCCTCTCGCTACACAGCATGATGTATGCCTCGGGAGTCGGTGGTCGGTGGTCGGTGGTCGGTGGTCCCACGTTGACAGTCAACCTCCCGTTTCCTGCACTGCACTGCAATGCAATGCACTCTACCGTCTCCTTCACGCATCACGGCTATGGCAGACATGTCGCACCGTTGCCAATTCCGTTTGGCATGTGTAGATCGATGGATGTGGATGTGGATGGCTAATGCCACTTTCGCTTTCACAAGATCACCGTAATACAGTGATGGCCCAAAACCCTGGTGGCTGGTTCGCGTCGAATTAACCTCAGCTCCGCACTCAGACGCGACCACCAGCTCGGCACTGCGCGATGGTAAGCATTTCTTCCATCCATATTGCTCCAGCTGCAGCACTTCAAGACATTGGCGCTGCTTCGGAAGCGAAGACTCATACAACATAGGTACAGCCGCAGCAAAGAAATGCCCAAGAGACGACGCGCCTCGCGCGAAATCGAGCCGTTCAAAAAGAGAAGATGCGTCGAGCTCGGCGTCGATGAAGAGGATGAACTTGCCCATCCATTCCCCGTGGAATTGGCGCAAAGACCAAAGAGAAAGAGTATCAGAAACGAGGATATGGTCAGAGGCCTACATACCTCTAGCGACGACTCTGAAGAAGCACAACCTGCTGAGTCTATTGCTGTGGTCAATGGTATCATCACACCACGGAGCGAGGCGTCCATTTCTAGAAAAGATTCCCTTCGCCTGGGCAAACCGACCGGTTTGCGGGAGGAGTCGCAGCCTACCTCGCTACCTGATTATGACTCGGGATCAAGCTTCAATGAGGATTCAGCAATACCTCTGCGCACCGTCCAGCGAGAACTCAGCCATGTTCAACTTCCTGGCTGGGCAGCTGGACCTTCTGTTCCAAGGACGCTTTTCGGTTGGTCTCCGAGCAATGTCACATCTCTCCCCGAGTCCCAGGCTCTTCCACAGCTTATTGCGGCTCATGAGACAGCAAACGCGCACTTGCTCGAAAAGCCAGAGTACACCTACGTCACGCTTGACCAGTTCTCTATCTATAAGCCGACTAGCAGCCATAAGCACGCACACACACTTGTTGCTCTTCACGAGCTATCTCGCGACCGGCATCAACAATTCTGCTTTGATGGCGTTCTGTCTGTCGGCCAAGACTGTTACTTTGTGGAGCACGTGCCGTTCCGGGTACTGACAGTTGACGGATACGATGACTTTGAGACAACCGATATTGGGAGTCAGCTTTGCGTACAATCTTTGCGTGGCGCTTACCACAACGTGTGGTACAAGCTTGGAACTCCGGGCAAGGAATACGAGCGTTTCTATAAGCCCTTCCTTTGGGTAGCGCGCTTCACAAAGCATGCCATTCAATACATGCTGGCCACAGAGCGCGTAACGCTGCGTCAATTTCGAGCTTCCTTCTACGACTGGCTGCATAAGACTTATCCTGAAGACGCTTCGCTACGGGTGTGGTTGGGCCAGAGCAAGACGAGAGACTTCGCCGTCCATTTCGTGGCATATGCCGACTTCTTGTGGAAAGAGAGCCATGGAGTGCAACAGCCTAGCGACGACATCAAGATCTGCAAACATCAGATCTGGCGCGAAAGCTTACCATATCCAGATTTGCTCAAAGCCATTCCGAGGCAGCCGCCCAAGCAGAAAGGCGACGCGAAGACTGTCGTAACGCCATTTGCTTATGAGAGCTTCAGTCATATGTACTTTGCTGATAAGATCCTCGAGACATCGGTCACTGAGCCTGGCCTCCTCTCGCGGATTCACGAACTCAAAGCTCGACGTGGCTTGACACCCTGGTTTTCACGATCGCCGTCGAGCCTAACGCCAATCAGTGCGGCCTCTGACCAGATCAAAGCTCGTGGCAGGATTGCGGTCGGAGACATCGTTGCTGTGCCAGCAGAGGATGATGGTCGTTGGAAGTCCAGCGCAGAGACTTGGTATGCATATGTTCAAAGAGTCTGGAAGCAGAAAAATGAACAAACACGCCTAGACGTCATCTGGCTTTACCATCCTCAAGACACGACGATTGGCAAAGCTCAATACATGTTCCCTAACGAGCTTTTCTTTAGCGACAATTGCGGCTGTGGTGTGAAGGAAGCGTTGCATCTAGAAGAAGTCACTCACAAAGTCGACGTCGCCTGGAACCCTCTCGATCCGGGTACGCAGGAAGGGCTTTTCGTCAGACAGAAGTTTCGCACAGTCGCAGAGATGGATTTCTACGATTTTCGAAAGATCCAAAATAGCGACTTTTGCTGCTGTCACCAAGCAGAGTATACACCAGAAGCGGTACCTCAATATCGAGTAGGTGACACAGTTCTAGTTGAAAAGAAAAAGGATGCTCTCGGCCGAAATTGCGAACCTGCGCAGATTCTCAGCTTCGGCAGCGCTGGCACCGTTCAAATGCGGAGGTTTCTGTACAAGAAGGACATCTTCCCTGCTTCAAGACCTAATCAGCTTCTCCCGTCCTCCGAGATTTTCAGCAGACAATGCGAGCATCTAGTGCGAGAATGCCATGTAAGGATATTTTCATGCAGCAATCTTCCAACGCCGTACGACAGGGGCGGTGCAGGGGATTACTACTACATCGCTGACACAGATATGGATGCCGACTCCATAAATGCAAAGTCACCCTTTCGTCAAGGCTGGGATCCACAAGAAGCACCATCTAATCGCAAGCTGAAGGGACTTGGTATCTTCTGTGGCGGCGGCACATTTGATCGTGGCCTACAAGAGGGCGGCGCAGTGCAATTCACCCATGCTGTTGACTATGCCGAGCATGCCCTTCACAGCTACAAGGCCAACTCATCGGAACCTGTGAAATTTTTCCTTGGTTCCGTAGACGACTATCTCAGCAACGCTATGGCTGCAGAGTCGGTCCACAATACTGCGACTACTGGTGAGATTGATCTCATCTCAGCCGGAAGCCCGTGTCAAGGCTTCTCAAAGCTTCAGCATGACAGGGACAGTCCGAGGTCAAGAAAGAATGCATCCATGGTCGCCTCGGTAGTGTCCTTTGTTGATTTCTACGTCCCGGAGTATTTAATCCTGGAGAACGTAGTCACGATGACAGACCATCCGAGAGACAAGAAAGGACCTATACCAGAGCAGAACGTCTTCTCGCAAGTCATTTCTGCTTTGGTTGGGCTTGGCTATCAGGTTCAGCAATTTCTTATGGACTCTTGGTCGTACGGAAGTCCGCAACAGCGCTCGAGAGTGTTCATCGTCGCCACAGCACCCTCAGCCGTACCGCTGTCGCAGCCAGAAATTACGCATGCACATCCCACCAAGAATCTTCGGACCCGCAATTTGGGGAGGTCAAGCAATGGCTTGCCATTCGGCACTCGCAGAACGAATCCGTTCGTAGCTCTGCCGTTCGTGACCGCTGAACAGTCGGTTGCAGACCTTCCTACGGTATACGACTCTGTGCCTCAGCTTTGTATCAGGTTCCCTGATCACAGACTCGCTGTCCTTGAGGCCCCAGACGTCAGAGCACGCATAGCTATGGTGCCAACACGACCACGTGAATGGGGCTTGCTCCAGGCTCATGATGCCGGCAGATTACGTGGTGAACCACGAGAGTACTTCATAAGGACGAAGGCGAATCTTGTGCGCAGTGGTATCAACAGCAAATCTTACACTCGCGTCTGCCCAAATCACCCTTTCCCGACCATTGTCACTAGGCTCAGTGTAGGTGACGGAATCAACGGGCGCGTACTACACTGGGATCAACACCGCCCTCTCACCGTAATGGAAGCAAGACGCGCTCTCGGGTATCTCGACCACGAGGTATTGATTGGCACACCAGAAAAGCAGCTACGCATTGTCGGAAACAGTGTCGACAGGAAAGTCGCCTTGGTACTTGGTCTCGCGTTGCGCGATTCTTGGTTGCACCCAGCAGGCCGTCAAGATCTTGTGAGCAGCCACAACGCTCAGAGGAACGTTTGTCAAGATCTTGATGACGAGGATCATGAATCAGGTGCCGGCATTTCGGCTGCAGTCAAGCGAGATGCGTCTCATAGTAGTGCACTCCCTGATTCTGTAGCGGCTGCTGCGCATGACTCTGGTCACTCGGACATACCGTCTTCACCGCCGCACGACGGCACCGGCGACGGCTTCTCAGATGCTGTTGATAATCGGACTGTTAAGATGTCTCTGAATCTGTCACAAGACGAGATTCAAAGAATCAGAAACGCCGAGGGAGGAGGCAAGTTCAAGGAGATCTTCAAGATCAACGGCTGGCAAACTTGACGTGTAATGTCTCGTTGCAAGGAAATCATTGCATGGTGGCGAATGGGAAGCTCGTCGTTACTCAATCTACAGCCGACTATTGGCCGTTGCGATATGCGCCACAGCATTGCATCGCAAGTGGTCAGTATGGAGGCATTGCTCTGCATCGGCGTAGTGCGTAATGCGCAATGCGTAGTGCATCATGCGTTGGCACCACAGCTGAGCTATATCTCTGCAATTCAATGCGCGGCGAGTGATTGGCATATGCATGCATAGCGCTGCAGCAGACATGTTCCGATCATAAACGCCATTACTGACTAGATAGACGCCATTACTGACTTTGCGGTGAGGCAACGTGCGAGAAGGCCACTGACCGCGAGGGCCTTGGTCAAATCAGAAGCCACACTTTAACAATTGATCAATCATTTTTCAGAGAATTTTTTTTTCAGAGACTTCAAGCCTTGCCATCGTCATGCCACCACTTACTCATGTTGTACTGTACGTCCATGTCATAGCCGATGAGTAAATTATGATCTATCAATATATCATCCAGTCGCCTTGTCGAACGTCTGTCCGTAGTCATGTGCAGCTGCCGCGCATATGCGGTGAGAGAAATGATGAAATCGGCATGTCCCTGCCATCTTCGGCAAAAGAGCAAAGAAATGCGCCTCCGACCAGCGAAGCACCCTTTTAGCTGATCGCCATGCGCACGCACGCGATAATCAGCATACCGTACCGTATGCTATGCAAAGCGAACAAGAAAATAATGTCCAGAATTATTATTTCCGATCCCCAGCAACAAGACTTTCCCCTTCTCCTGTTTTTTTTTCTTCTCCTCCTCGCCGAATCCTTCGTCTACCTCCATTCAGGCGCTTCGTGGTTGAATTCGTGTGTGTGCTGCTCGTGACTTCTATTTCTACACTATACTACATTAGGTTTAGCGCCATTCGAGATCTCATTCTAGCGAAGCGCCTGAAGCTAAACCGTTGCTAGCGGGTGTAGGTTGCGTTACTACTACTATATTTTATGTCGAATAAGCTATATAGCTTAACAACTATTAGTCGCAGTATAGCACTTTATAGAGACGGGACCTAGATAATTTAGCGATTAAGAATATCCGCTATTTTAATAAGCTAGTCGCTTTAGAAATGCTAAAGTTATTATCGATAAACGTAAATTGCTACTCTCGACTAACTCGTTTACCTACCTCTATATACTTTACGAGCAAACAAACGACGCCCTTCTACATTAACAAAGTATAGGAGGTCTACCTTTCTAGTACCCTCTACAACCTCCGCGTGTCTATTTACTATATAATTTAGTCGCACACTCGTCTCGACTCGGTAGGGCAAACTAACCCTTTAGCCTCTAATATCTAGAACTTTAACCTATCGCCTAATCTCGATAAACCTAATACGCAGTTACAAACTTTAAGTGTCCCGTAAGCTCCGCCGCCTATTAAAGTACGCTAAATCGATAGTCTAATTTAGACCTTACCGCCGCCGGAGAAAGCTATCTAAACTATATCCTATACGATTAACGATATCGAGGCCGCTAATCGACAAGTTCGACTCGAGGTCTAGTATCTAGTATCTAGCATCTAGTATCTAGCATCTAGCATCTAGTATAGCTAGCGATAAAGCCCGCTATAAGCAGCGCCTAGCCGAGAAGGCTGCGCGCTAGAAGAAGTAGCAACTCGAGCGTTAAGAACTATATTAAGTACTACTACTAGGTCGTTCCGCTATTATACGCGTACGTCTAGACTTCGGTGTTCCTCCTATATAGCTACCCTAGCTAAAATCCGAATAGCGATAGCACTTCTAGCGACGTATCGAGAAGATTATAAATCTAGAGACACCGCTTACGCGTATATAGGAGTTAGTATAGCAAGTAGGCTAATTTAAGGAAACTGTCTAGTACTAGGCGGAGATTATTAAGAAAGGCTTAACTAAAATCCTCGAATTCAAGTACCCTAGTTTAGCATATACTCCGACTCTAGCGCAGAAGTTAGTAATGTATGCGCTCGTCTATAGCTAGAATAATGTCCTATTTATTACTCGTATAGGCGAGGGAAAGAGTCTTCCGTTCTAGGGCTTTATAATGCTAACTAGTATAATTACTATCTAAGTCGTACTACTAAATCGCCTAGGTGCCGAGTAAGTAGTAGCAATCGAGCGTATAGCTAGTAATACTAGTAGTCTCGTCTATTTAGTATATATCTCTGCCGAGACTAAGAAGATCGATCTAGGTATATTTAAGAACATCCTAAATAGCAAGATCTAGTATATTCTACTTAGGCCTAAGCAGGTAGCATCTCCTTAGTTCCTTGCCCTGCTAAACGATCTACGTATACGCGAGCGAGTCGGTCTAGTTATTATCGATAAGGCGCACCTAATCTATAACTAGGGTAAGCCTTCTAGTTTCCGGGGCGAATACTCGTAGGTCGGTTAAATGCGTAACCGCCTACGCATCGACACTAGTACGCTGTTAGTATCGGCGACTATAGATAAAGAATGCACTAAGTATGCGATAAAGTATGCCGGTATACGTAAGGAAGGCCCTAACCTATACGAGACTAAGATTATCCGTAGTAGTATCGATCGCCTAGAAATTATATATATTATTAAATTTATCCCGAAGGAGCATCTAACCGACTACGATATACTATATATAGTGATCGATAATGCCGTGTCCTATCTACTAATTCCTAATAGAGAAGAGAAGGAGATTACGAAGGGATTAGTAATACTATAGAATATACGCAAGTCCTTAGTGTTTATCGATAGCTATAAGCATATCGCTAACTTTGTCGATATCGCCCGTAGCTAGTTGCTATATCTAACTAAGGATAATCCGGATCTAACTAAGAGGTACTAATATAGCCTAGTAGGTCTAGGCGTTAATGCTACCCGAACTATCTCCTTCTATATAGCGAGGGTACTAAAGCTAGACTAGGACGACCGATACGACGAGTATTGCAAATTAGACTCTACTATTCGTTATATAGCAGCTACTACTATAGCAAGCATTAGGTTAGACGTACCTAATATCGCTAATATATACTAATAGAAGTTCAATATTACTCGCAATCCTAGAGACCTTTAGCAGCGACTTAGTCGTATTGCTCGGCGACTAGCTCTATTAAATATAGAGGGCTTCTTCGATAAGCCGCACTTCTATCGACCTCGTACATTCTTCTTCGTACTATACTATACCGGAGACTATATTAAGCGTATGCCGGAAGGTGCTAGTATGCTTTCTATCCTTCTACTATCGTAGTCGCAGTCGCGCGGTCGTAGTCGTAGTCGTAGTCGTAGTAGAGGTAGAGGTAGTCGCGGTAGAGGTACTCGTAGTAGAGGTAGAGGCATATACACTACCGGACCTAGCAGGTTGCGACAAGAGCTTCCTAGTAAGGATGTTAGTAGTACGAGCGACTAAGACGATATACATAGTAACGCTAATACCGATACTAGAGATAGTGCTTCTAGAGGCCGTAAGGGCAAATCTAAGGAGAGTAATATATAGAATAAATCTAAGCTAGAGAGCCGGAAGAACATTCTAAAGGTCTTCTTAGGTACGCTAAACGATTACCTAAAGATACTAGGCCGCTGCTTTCGAGTAGTAATAAATAAGCACTATAGAGAACACCTAACCTAGTTTCCGTACCTACTCGGCTAAGCAGATAGAAGAGATTGCTACAACTTCTATAATACCGATCTAATAGCTGATCTACCTAAACTACTAGTTAAGCGCGTTAAGCTAGTCAACCTACTAGGCAAAGGCACAAGACCGAGCTTTAGGCTTAAGCATATTAAGGACTAGTGCTTAAAGAAGATTAACACCCTATACCCGCGTAAGAACCGCCTATTTCGTATACTAGCTAGTATGTATATAAAGGATAGGCTGATGTAGTCTATATCGGAGGTCTTCCTTCTAGCTCGGTTAATAGATATATAGGAGGATGTGAATCTTAGTAAAGATCGGTTGCTATAGGTCGTACTAGAATTAAATAGATAGCAGTATAAGGATACGGATCTCGATAAGTTGCTTGCTATTATTATTAGCATTGCTGAAGCTGTATACGCTAACTGGGATGCCTATAAGGCAGAATAGAAGGTAAAGCAGGATGCTATAGCGAAGGCTATCGCAGATGCTACTAAACAGGTAGGAGAAGAAGAGGGTCCTAAAGGTAGTTTAGCCGATCTACGTCTAGTAACCTATAGGACTCTATAGCAGATAGAGGCAGAGCAGCGCAACCTAAACTAGTTATTAAGGCGATCTACCTTTGCGAATACTGTACGCTAGTCCGGTATACAGGGCAGCCTAGCTTAGTAGGCTTAGCAGGCTTAGCAGGCTTAACAGACACCTACTACGGCGGCGGGACCTTCTAACCCTCCTTCTAATAGTACTGATCCTGCTAGGCCTTCTACCGACGCACTACTAGCTAGGAAGCGCTAACGCCGTAGTGCTTAGCTATTAGGCGCCCGTCGATCTGCCTCTGCCTCTGCCTCTACCCTTACCGAAGAAGAAGAAGAAGAAGAGATAACTGTCGATAAAGCAACCGAGCGGTTGATACAAGCCTATATTAGTCGCCGTAGTAGTCGTAACATTCGCATTCCTGCGGCTACTAAGGGTCTATATAGCGAGGGCGCTCGTACGAGAAGCTTAAGTATAGCAAGCAGTCGTAGTAGTAGAGTTAACGACAATATCCTGTCCTAGTATCTGCCGAGTAGGTAGTAAATAGTTAAGTTGCTTCTGCGAGAGCTAGCCTAGTTGTTGTATTGCTTCTGCGAGAGCTAGCGAGAGCCGGCGTATAATATAGGATGCCTAGTTTAGCTGCTTCTACGAGAGCTAGCGCTAGAATTAGCGGTGAAATAGCGCTAGAGATGGCACTAGAGATAGCGCTACAATTAGCGGTAAAATAGCACTAGAATTAGCACTAGAAATGGCACTAGAATTAGCACTAGAATTGGTATTTAATAAGGCTTCTATTATGTCCTTATAAGCTCGCTAAGTCCTTGTCCCATCCCCGGAAAAGTGAGCCGTAACACTACGCTCGATCGCAGGTTGTATACTATACTATCTTTCGTTAGGCCTGTTTAGTTCTACGAGAGCTAGTTAAGTTGCTTCTACGAGAGCCGGCGTATAATGTAGGATGCCTAGTTCAGCTGCTTCTACGAGAGCTAGCGTATAGTAGTGCCTAGTTTAGCTGCTTCTACGAGAGCTGGCCTAGTTTAGCTGCTTCTACGAGAGCTGGCGTATAGTAGTGCCTAGTTTAGCTGCTTCTGCGAGAGCTAGCGCTAGAATTGGTACTAGAGATAGCGCTAGAGATAGCATTTAATAAGGTCCTTCCTTACTACTCTTCTATTATATCCTTGTAAGCTCGCTAAGCAGGTTCTTCTATTATATCCTTATAGGCTCGCTAAGCAGGCTTTTCTATTATGTCCTTATAGGCTCGCTAAGTAGGCTTTTCTATTGTGTTCTTTGCGATAAGGGTTTGTAGATAGTCGTAGGTATAGATAGTCGTAGGTGTCGATAGTATATAAGAGCTAGGCGAGAAGCGTAAATTCGAGGAAGCGACAAGGATGCCGAGTCCCGCTAAGACCCCGGATTTAGTATAGCAGAGCGCTTAATTAGTAGGATTAAACGTTATAGCTGCTTCCTTCCGCGCATTTATAATACCGACTTTACGACTTTTATAACAGTATTACTAATATAGCGAGATACGTCGATTTAGCGCGTTTCTAGCAAATAGCGCTAACAAAAGTGTCTAACACGATAACAACGGCCGCCTTAGGCACCAACACTAGCGAGAAGTTACTAGCGAGAAGTCACTAGCGAGACTAGCGAGACTAGCGAGACTAGCGAGACTAGCGAGACTAGCGAGACTAGCACTATACTCATTGCACCGCAGCTATTAGCACTACAATATATACGGCAAGGATAGATACGTAGGGCGATAACATACATCGAGCG